GTGGTTAAGTACTCCTAGGTTCAATTCCCAGTACCCCCCACCAAAAAAAAATAATAAGATTGGCAACAGTCTCAGAAAATTAAATTACTATTGGGAGAAGATTGCAAAATCAATAATGGAAAAGAAACCTAAGGTTGGGATGTCTTTTTTATGTGTGTATGTGTGTGCTGGGGATTGAACCTGGGGCCTTGTGCAAGGCAAGCACTCTACCAACTAAGCTATATCCCCAGCCCTGGGATGTCTTTTGAGTGAACCTACTGGGTGATGATATTTAGACTTATAGTAGGAACTGGCCTAGAGAGAATAATTATTTTTTTTAAGAGAGAGGAGAAAGAGAGAGAGAGAGAGAGAGAATTTTAATATTTATTTTTTAGTTCTCAGCGGATACAACATCTTTGTTTTGCATGTGGTGCTGAGGATCGAACCCGGGCCGCACGCATGCCAGGCAATCGTGCTACCGCTTGAGCCACATCCCCAGCCCACAGAGAATAATTATTAAGTGAAGTTATAAAATGCTCAGTAGATTACCTCCCATTGTCTGCAACAAAAACCCTGAATGTAAAGGTTATTTGAATCATTACCTACCTTCCCACAGCAAATACAGTCAATCCCACAGTAATTTTACGATTTGCATAATAATTTTCCAAGACTGACTCATTGTAAGTACCATGCCACACAACTGGAGCTGACCATTCAGTAACACTCAAGTTCTTATCTGTGAAATTCAGTCTATGTCTATAAGAAAGAGAATTTTTGAATAAGATACATATAATAAAAAAAACAGAAGATAAAGCCTTGATAAGCCTTGATTAGCCTTGATTAAGGAAGTTCTGAGATCAGAATTTCTTTACATCTAACCCAAAGCCTTGACAGTTTTTCTTTTGTGGGGGGTGTACTGGGGATTGAACTCAGGGGCACTCCACAACTAAGCCACATTCCCAGTCCTATTTTTGTATTTTATTTAGAGATAGAGTCTCTCACTGAGTTGCTTAGCACTTCCCTTTTGCTGAGGCTGGCTTTGAACTTGCAATCCTCCTTTCTCTGTATCCTGAGTTGCTGGAATTACAGGCTTGTGCCACCACGCCTGGCAACAGTTTTGATAAACTAAAGAAGTAGCATATCAGAAATGGCAAGATCATTCCCAAAACACATGTATATTAGTTATACTGTGATTCCAAGGTCTTTGGAAACATAGTTAAACTGACCACCCAAAATCTAAAGTATTGATTTATTTTATGTCTAGCTAAGATATCCTGGTCATAGTAGTGTTTTGTTTTGCTTTCTGACATTATATTCAAAAGCCATGTTTTTATAAAATGATTGTCCTAGTTTTTGCACCCTGAAGTGCTACCAATGCTAATATTGCTGTAATACTGTTGTTATCAACTTTATCAGAACTGTGGAGAATAGTCAAAAGTTTAGAGCAACCAAGTAAAAGGTAGGAATAAGGAGCCTTCATGGTCTTCTAATTTAGCCTATCCCCAACTGCCTCCCCGGTGTGGCAGTGGTATTGAAGACAGGAGATGATGTCTGCAATGTGGGTATCTGCTTCTGAAGAGAGCAGAGTGGACCTGTTCCCAAGGAGATGCGTCTCTTCTGACTTGTCCAAGGGCTCTCTGAAGAACTGACACCAAACTCAGACTTCTCTCAGAGTGGAAAGGTAGCTAAAGGAAGGGTGTTTCTTGAAAACAAAGTCGAAATGCATTCTGCTGTCATGTATAACTAATTAGAACAACAAAAAAAAAAAAAAATCCTGCCACTCTGCAAAAAAGTTATAGTTGTGGCAAACTAGAAACCCTGAAACACCTGAGGAGAGTCACTTTGGACAGTAAGGGTTCTGATAGTCTCCAGTGTATAACAGGGAATTCAGAAATCCATGCACATGCCAAGGGCAGGATACATGCTCAGAAAAGACCTGAAAATGCTTTAAGTTTTCACCTCTGGTTGATATTGAGGCCCCGTGAAGCAGGAAGTTAAGACTAAGGCAGAATTGAGAACAGCTGGGCTAAGCATTGAAGGAGTACCTAAACAGGGCAGTCTGTAGACTGAGCCATATTTTCCTCTCCATCCCTCACACCTTTCACTCCCTTCCCTCCTTTCCCCTCCCCTCTGCTTACTTCCCCTCCTCTTTTTCTCTTCTTTTTCTCCTTCTTGCTCCCTTCCTCTCCCTTTCCTTTCTTCCCCTCTCTTCCTCCTCCTCCATCTCCCTCCCTTAATCTTTCTTCCTTCTCTCTTTATCTCCACTATCCCCCACTCCCAAGTATTTAGTGAAATTCTATTAGATATTGGCTGACCACAAGCTAAAGGAACAGAGATTTCAGAGACCAAAAATGAAAAGAATATAGGCTTTAAAACTGGTTTAGAGCTGGCCATGGAGGCCCACGCACACCAGCGGTTTGGGAGGCTGAGACAGGAGGATCCCGGGTTCAAAGCTAGCCTTAGAAATGGCACTGTGCTGAGCAACTCAGTGAGACCCTGTCTATAAATAAAATACAAAATAGGGCTGGGGATGGGGTTCAGAGTGGCAGAATGCCCCTTGGTTCTATCCCTGGTACCCAAAACAAAACTGGTTTAGAAAACAACCAAACACAACTATAACCCAAAGAACTCTGAGGAGCATAAAGAATAATTTCTAGAGAGAACATAATACAATAGTCAAAATGTTCACTTATTAACAAAAATTATGAAGCATTAAAAGAAACAAGAAAATATGGCCCATTCACAAGGAAAAAAATAACAGAAATTGTCTCCAAGGACCTCGTTGCGCAACGGTAGCGCGTCTGACTCCAGAAATTGTCTCCAAGGAATCCAGACATTATATGTACTAGAGAAAGATGCTAAATCAACTATTTGATATATGCTTCAAGAATTAAAGGGAACTATAGACCAAGAAATTGGGAAAATGATGGCTTAGCAAATAGAAAACATCAATAATGAGAGATTATTAAAAGTAACCAGTAGAAATTATGGAGCTGAGAAGTCAAATAACTGAAATAAAAAACTCATGATAGGGTTTTAGCAGAAGATTTGAGCAGGCAGAAAAAAATCAAAATATGCACAGAACACTTTACCTAGCAAGAGAGTATACATTCTTCTCAAGTACACAAAGTACTAGGCTCAATTATATGCTGGATTAACACAAATCTCAATAAACTTAAAAAAAAAAAAACAACTAGAAACACACAAAGTATCTTCATCAGCAATGGAATGAAATGAGAAATAAATGACAGAAAATCTGGAAAATTTACAGTATGTAGAAATTAAACATTATAATCTTAAACAACCGATGGGTCAAAGAAGAAATGACAAGGGAAATTAGAAAATACATCTTGTATCTGGCAATGGATCTTTATATGTGAAAACCAAAACACAGGCAATAGCAACACAACAAATAAATTTGGACTTTATTAAAAAGCAAAACTTGCTGGGTGTGGTGGTGCATGCCTGCCTGTAATCCCAGGGGCTTTGGAGGCTGGGGCAGGAGGATTGTGAGTTCAAAGCCAGCCTCAGCAAAAGTGAAGCACTAAGCAACTCAGTGAGACCCTGTCTCTAAATAAAATACAAAATAGGGCTGGGGATGCGGCTCAGTGGTTGAGTGCCCCTGAGTTCAGTCCCTGGAAACCAAAAAAAAAAAAAAAAAAGCAAAACTCTTTTCATTAAAGAACACAATAAAGAAAGGAAAAGACAGCTCATAGTATGGGAGAGAGTACTTACAAATTGTACATCTGATGAATCTAATAACCAAAATATATAAAGTCTTACAACTCTATTGTCTTTTTACAGTAAAAAGACAAACAGTCCAATTTAAAAATAGGCAGAGACATTTTTGTATACAAGAGGCCAATAAGCACATAAAAAGATGTTCAGCATCATTAGTCATTAGTCATCTGGTAGGAACAGAGAGAGAAAGAGAGATCAAACTGGAGCTTTATGAGAAGGTGTTCAGTATTAATGTAATCAAGAAAAAAATGCAGTGGGAATTTAATTTTATCAGATACTAGCCTATTTGGCATCTATTTAAATGCTTATATAGTTTCTCCTTTGTCCATTGCTGTGATGAATCTTCACCTTGAATTAATAGGATTTATCTTGCTGATCTTGTTGATGGGATGCTGTAGCATTTATTAAGCTGTTGTCTTTCATAACTAAACCCACCATACCCTACTCTGCTTTCTTTTCCTGGGGCTAGGACTCTGCAAATCCTTTTTCTCCTCTGCCAGCTGGTACCATTAGGTTCTGCTAATAGAGGCCCACACAAAACAACAAGGCTGAAGGAAGAGGAAACTTGCTCTTTCCTATTTTTTGCAGGTTTCTTGTCTGCTTCCTGTTCCTGCAAGACCTATCTCAGTAATCTTTTTTTGCCACAGTGGCGATTTCTTCCTAGAGCAGCCCTTGAATCCAGTTTAGTGAGCCCTGCACACTTGGGCTCTGCTTCTCTCATTGGTGAAACCAGGAGAATCAATCATGTGGTTTCAAACACATGCTTACACTTTTGGTCTGACTCTGTTCTCGCACCTTTAAGTTTATGTAATTTAAAATGTCACTCAAGGAGAACATGGGTCCAAATACCCAGCCCCAGTGAGTTGGCCACTGCCTATTTTTTAGAATATTGTAATCAGAGATCTATCCACTCTCCAAAATCTGGAATGCCAGTAGTGGTATTGTTATTATCTATTACTTTTATGGATTAACCTCACATGTGTAAGATTTGAATTCTTACCTGGGATTAAACCAATCAGATAGATGCAATTCTGTTTTATTTTTAGGAGACCTAAAAGGAAAAATAATGTAAAGAGTCATACTCTATCCTCTAGCTGGAGGTAATTGAGTGTCTATGAAATCATGGGCTGTATTATAATAAAATGCAAAATAAGAGTGAAGTAGGAAAAAAAAAAACACTGATGAACTTTGATGGTGGTAGCATAGGAAAATCATGGTTTCCAACCTCACTTTAACTTTGTTCTTTGCTGCCCAGAAGTCTTTGTGTTTTCATAGTTCTCATCCTCATTCATCTCATTCACAGAGAAAACACCATCAGATTAAAGCTTCCTCAACTTTCTGACATGTCATCTTCAAATTTACCCATAGCACTGAACTGTTTTCCTTCTTTAACAATGGAAATATATCCCCACTTTCCATCTAAGGTTAGCCTTAAATATCTTATTGTCAGGAGCCTTGATTTGGGATTTGGCAATTATTCTCAGAGGGTTTCTCCTAATCCCTCTATCCAATCATCTGGCACTCTCTTCTGGCAATTTGCTGTGGTTTCAGATTTTTACCTACAGCTAAAACCTCACCCATGAACTAAAGACTTGTGTATCTTACCGTGTTCTAAAGCTCTGTACTCAGATTCTTCAAACAAATACACAATGAAGATGTTTAATTTTAAAGTCATCATTTCTCCAAAGTACCTCCTTTTTGGTTTTGGCTTTCTGTGTCTTATGGTTCATGGCCACAATGTGTGACATGACCCAGTCTTTACACTATTTCAGCCATATCTCCTTCCAGACCCTTATCATAATTTGCTTAAACATACTACAACTTTAATTAGCTAATTTCCACATAGCCTTCAGATCCCATTTTAAATAGCCCTTCCTAAGGAAAGTGTTTCTTAATCTGCTAAATGAGATTAGAACCCCTTGATTAATACCTAACACCCGTTGAATTCTTTCCTAAGTATTATCTAATTTATCCCACATAGCAGCCCATATGAGATGGTATTATTACTATTATTATCCCATTTTACCAGATTAGGAATTGAGGTAGAGAGAGCTTTTATTATCTTGCCCAGAGTTACACACGAAGGGAAAGACAAGCAGTTTCACCTGACTCCTTCTATTTCCTCTTTGCCATACATTCTAATGGCACCCTGGCTACAGAGCTGGGGCCCCTCTGGAGAGCCGATCCTGGGATGAGTTAAGGAAGTGATCAGGCAGCTATGGAGCTGAGTCATATATCAAGAGACTCTATCCCTAGGTGCACAGAGAGGAGTAACTGCAATGTCAAGGATGTGACTAAGACCTGGAGTTCTACTCAAACACCCACTACCATTGCCTTTGGATGATGCATATTAGTATGTTAAGGCCATAGAATTTTGAACTAACATTAATAACAGAGACTTGTTGGTAGGTGGTATTGCATTAAATACATTTGCCAGAAAACATTTTAGATCTATTCCTTCTCCCAGGTTCTATGATGCAGACTTCCCTTTAATGTTTCCATCTTTGCCTAGGGGTTTGCCTGTTTTCAGGTCATTAGTCACTGTTCTCTGTTTGTTGTGGAGATATATATATATACATAAGTTTATATATATGTATATATATGTCATATTAAGAAGGTATGTTTTATATATATATGTATATATATAACATATATCTTAATATCTTATTTTCATGCATGGCACAGATTACCTAGTTATCTAGTCATGCTCTTAATAGGGCTCTTGTAAGTCACAGAATCATCAGAGAGACAAGGCCTTGGACACAATAAATATCAAAAAGGAAAGTTAATCTTCATTTTACTGTGGGGTTCCATGACTGTATGAATAATTTGAAGAATTTATACTAGTATTGGATCTTGCACAATCTTTGGGAAAGTTTTTCTCTCTGCACATATTTTGATGGTATGATTGCAGAGGTGGTGTGTGGTTAATGACACCCCCCCCCCCATCTCTCTCTCTCTCTTTGGTGTCAGGGATTGAACTCAGGGGCCATGACCACTGAGCCACATTCCCAGCCCTATTTTGTATTTTATTTAGAGACAGGGTCTCACTAAGTTGCTTGGCATCTCCCTTTTGCTGAGGCTGGCTTAGAACTTGCAATCTTCCTGCCTCAGCCTCCCGAGCTGCTGAGATTAAAGGTGTGGGCCACTGCACCCAGCTAGTGACATCTCTTGAGAGTCATTTAGCAAGCTTTTACTCCTGTATGTTTGCCTAGAGCTTTCAAAACTCAAGGTTACTGGGGGCCAAGTTCTGGTTCCTGGAAATGTGTTTCCCGTATCCAGTTCCCACTCCCCATCAGACGACACTTTGCTAGTCTATGCTTTCTTTGGCTTCTGGTATTCTTAGTTTATCTCCAAGATGTGTTTGTAAAATTGCATGGTTTACCATGCCTGCAGGATCCAAGGACTCACAGATCCTCATGCCCTTCAACAGGGTTTATCTTTGAAGAAGAGGTTGTAGCATGTTTGTAAATAATAACTTACCAGCACTTATACATCATCATCCGTAGTTTCTTTGAGCTTAAGACAAAAGAAAAACATGTTATTTTTAAATGTATAAACAGTGTTTCTGAATATAAGGTGACTGGAGGACTACATCAATCCATTTATTTTATTGCCTAATATTACCAAATCTACTATGTGCCAAGTACATGGTGGTTATAGAGATACAGTATGAACATGATGAAAATCATTACAGGTAGGTCCTCACATGCTGTACCTTTAAAAAGAACACATCTACAACCTAATTCTTTGAGACACAAATGAATGAGAAACCTACTTAATATCATTAGAGCAGTTAATCACTGATAAGTCTATTTGTCTCTAATTATGTAAGGTAAATACAATATATATACCTGAAGTCACCAACATTAGGATTTTTTCTTAAAGATCTTAATTATTTCCAAATTTTTCTCTGACATTACAAACATTAAACTGCCACAATATTTTAGCTTCTTATTGCTTTCCCTCACACAGGAGGGCTTACACATGTAGTGCGCCTTTGGGCCCACTACAAACAAAGGATTTGGATGCTGAAGGCTAGGTTTATGTTGATGAATTTAGGTATATTGTATATGTTCAGGTACTATTGGACTGATCTATCTGGATGCCGATTTATTTATGGGCTTTTTACCTTGTGACATAACAGATCCTTTCCAAGTATCAGAATAAAACATTCATTAAATTTTTATAGTTACCTGAAATAATACTTTGTGTGCAAGGCCCATAGATACAGTAAAATCAATGATATCATTATTTTCATTTTGTATTTCATTCTTTTCCTGGAAGGAAAAAAAACAGATGAAAGTAGATTAAATTTAGCACAGTATTAAGAGAGTAAGCTCTTGGTGATTTAAACTAGATAACTAGACAGTGGACCACAATTAAGGCACTGTTGCTCCTCAGGTGTTATCTACGTGAAAATCGAGTTGAGTCAGTGGATGCACTTGGTTTTATTTTGAGCCAGCTGCAGGAAGTCTTAGAACATTAGTGGGTCTTAGATGTTCTTGGATTAAGAGGTTTTATAACCTTTGTATTTCTTAGATTTAAAGGCTTTTTCTCCGGAAAATAAATGTGAAAATCCCTTTCCTAGCCTAACTCTAGGGTAGAGTGTCAGTGAAAAGATAATTATGAAAGGACTTACCTGGACTCTAAAGATTTGTATGAAGGAAGATAATTACTTTAGTTACGTGGCATTGTGGTGTTGAACACTACAAAAAGGTGATGAGACTGATGGCAACATAAAACATATGCCCCTTTGTAAAAGTTCTTGAAAATAAAATTGATTCAGAGCACTGGCTGGAGACTCAACTGTAATTTTTAGGTTATCTGTGCATTGACCTTGAATTTTTAGTCATGAACGTTATAAAACTCCTTTACGGTATCTAAACCACCAATATGAAGTTGTCTAGGCACAGAAGAGGAATTAGGTGTGGCTAAATTTGGTTTAAATTAAAATCTCTTACCTGTTGTTTTCCTCAGATCATGGAGGAATTTAGACAGATTCTTTACTGGAGATAACATTTATGGTATAAGATGTGTTTGAAGAGATGTGGAAATTGTATGAGAGCAAGACAGTTTTCAAGCAGGACATTTTGAACCCCTTGAAAAATCATGAATCAGATGCCCAGTACTGGTTCTATGTCACTCTCAAGCAGGTGTGTTTAGTATTTTAGTCTTCTGTGAATGATGACATCATCAGGTTCTCTTTTGATGATGAAAGAATGTATGATCAAGACAATCCATATTCCAGTAACCTCTTTTTTATTCTAGGGGACTATATTTTTGTCCTGTTCCTAAAAATAACATCCTTCAAGCTCCTTTTGTTTTGAGGGGATTTTTAACAGCTTTATAATAAAATTTTAATTGAGTTATAATTTACATAAAGTAAAACATGTAATTTAAGTGTGCATTTCATTGTGTTTATTATATATATATACACATGTGACTAACAACCACCTTAGTTAAGATGTGACCATCTCCAGGACCCCAGTTACTTTCCTTGTGCCTCTTTCAGTCAGTACTCTCTCCTTCCTGGCAAGCTGGTGTAATGAAGATATTGAAAGAGATCATCAAGAACTTAAAGGCAGCTATGATGAAAAAATTTAAGGATTTAATAGAAAAATTTGTCAAAATGAATGAACACATAGGTATTCTCAGCCAAGAGATGGAAGCTACAAAAACAATGGGCTTCTAGAACTTTTAAAAATATGTATTTATATTTTATATACTGCTGGTGAGGCTTACTGACAGATTGAACCCTGAAGAGTAAACGGTCAATGAAAGAAAAGATAATTCAATATTAATCATCTTATTAAAAAAGAAAGGAAATGCTTTGTTAAAATAAATAAATAAAACCTCAGTACCTATAACAGAGTTATCAAGTAGTCTAATATGCAAGTATTTGGATTCCCAGAAATGCAGAAAAGAGAAAATGGAGAAGTAAAACTTAAAGAAATTATAGCCCCAAATTTCCCAACTTTGATTTTACAGAAATTATAAACTTACAGATTCAAGAAGTTTAACGAGTCCCAAACAATAAAAATGCAATTTTCCCTCAAGAAAAATTGCAAAAATGCAAAGCAAATGTAGGAATTCAGGGCAAATTGCTGTATTTTGTGCCAGTCATTCTCTAATTTAACTGCATATTTGAATCATATGGGAAACTAAAAAATCCAGCATCCAGGCTTTACCCCATGCCTATTGAACAGGAGTCTTTGGGATGAGACCCAGGCATGAATATTAGTGCTCCAGGAAATTCCAGGCCTCAGCCAAGTTTGAAAAACAACGCTTTATGCCTCCTACCACTAAGAAAGAGGCACAGCTGGGTTTTGGAGGCTTTACCCCACACGTGTGGATGACCAGGTGTTTCCCATTCACCTGATAGAATAAAAACAGTGAGCTTCAATGTAGAGCTCTGGACAGGCTTTTCAACTGATTGAGATTGCAAGCAAGTTACTCTGCCACTTAAGACCATAGTGAGCCTTGATGGAAAACTTGCTGCAGAGGCCCGCTGAATTCCAGAGCGCAGGAATGCTCCTTGTCTTGGTGTGTGCTGTGTTGCTACAGCAAAATATTACTGTCTAGGGGTGCTGGGTTTGTTCAGCAAAGGATTGAAGAACAGGATACAAAGATAGCAAGCAAGAAGTAGATTTAGTGCAAAAGTGACAGAGATAGACTTCTCCAAAGACAAGGGGCCTCAGAGCTGGGAATCCAGTGTGGGGGCGTCTTGGCCTGTTCTTTTTATGGTCTCTGGAATTTCCTCCTTTCCTTATCTCCTCCCCTGTCCATGCTCTCCTCACTGTTATTGATTGATGCCCTCTCTGTCCCCATGTTGATACTGCCGGTTATTGGTGAGTCCTGCTTCCCCACATGTTGAAGTTTGAACATTAGGGAAGCACACCAAGACAAGCATATAAAGCGGGGTTTATTTTAAAGGGGTAACAGAGTTCTTCCGCGAGGGAGAAGGGGACCAAAGCTGGTATCCTGGTATCCCAAGAAGCGAGGTGTTCTGCCCTTTTTATATGTCCTAGGCTTCCTTTGTTCTCCTGCCTTTCCCCCCTTATCTTTCTCCTCCTGCTTGGCAGGATGGAGTAGACAAGGACACATTAACAACCTTATAGCTCCCTGTAGGGAGGGGAAATTCCTGGGACAGGTTACCTGGGTTGGAGCAGGGGCAGGTTCTTGATAAGATCCCTCAGGGGACCATCTCCAACTTCCCAGACTCACTCAAAATTGGCTTCCAGATCTATCTACACTGACTGACTGTCTAATTCTGGCTTCAATGTCTATTTTAGTTTTTCTCTTGGATCCTCTGTTTAAGAGCATGAGTACGGAAGCATCTGTCTGATTGGGTTCCCTGCTTGTGTCCACAAGCACTTTTGTCAAGCAGTAAGTCGATGTCATTAGAAGACCCTCTCCATGCTCCTTTCTTCTGGTCCTGCCCACAACCTCCTCACTTGCCATCTTGCCCTGGCTGCCTAAGCCCATTTACCTGTCCCTTAAAAATACCAGACTCTGGGCACTTTATATAGGAAAGAGGTTTATTTGGCTCAGTTCTGGAAGTTCAAGAGCATGGCATCAGTATTTGCTCAGCTTCCAGTGAGAGCATCAGGACAGTTCAATCCATGATGGAAAATTGCAAAGAGGAAATGGGCTCATAGAGAAGAGTATGTATGTGAGAGAATCAAGGGAAGGTGCCAGGATCACTTGAGGAGAACCTGCTCTCACAGTAACCAGTCCGGTCCCATGTAGAACAAGAATTCCTCCTGAGAGAAAAGCATTAACCCCTCTTAAAGGCCCCAAGCCTCATCATGTGGTGACAAATCATATTCAAACCATAGTACACCTTGAGCAGATAATCATCATTTCCTTCTTTTAAATAGAAGTTATTGTAATTTACCTCTCTTTCTTCCTCCCTTCTGCCATTATTGACTATAGTGTGTTTGAGTGTAAGCTAATTTCCCACATATTTTACAAATTTGATAATCTGTCTAAGAAACTGAAAGAAATGAAAGACTCTGAGAAGCTTGGCCCTAAGACACTAACTGTGGATTCAGTAGTCTGCCATTAGGAAGGGGGTGGGCTGGAGTACAGCAGAACATTCTAGACCATAGTGGGAGGGAGGGAGTACTTTAGTTGTGTAGGAAGAAATAACTTATGCCCAGAAGTGGTAGATAGATAAATGGAATGCATAGATGTTTTAAGAGGGTAAATACCTAGCTTTCAACAATAGATCCTTCTTTGAGAACCCCCCACAGTGTGATCACCCTCCAGTGAACCTACTCCAGGAGAGAGCTGCTGGGAGCAGAAGCAGATGCTGTGCCCTATGTGGATTTTCTTTCCAATGATTTTAGTTTTGAAGGAAGAAACCCTGAGATTGGAGATAGTTGGAGCTGGGTCACATTTATGGCAGACCTCTCGGGAAGTTCACGGTTTCCAGCTGATGAGGCCCCTGATATTCCCTGTTTTTTGCTCATGGCCTGGTTTTTGTGATGTGCTTGTAAAATTTTAACAACTGACTTTAAAAATAAAGAATAAGGAAAGTGAAGGAAAAAGAACCCCAGTTCCTAGTGTTTGCTGATTTCTGTTGTGTAAATAATTTCACCATATGTGTTAGTTAGCTTTTCATCATTGTGACCAAGATACCTGACAAGAACAACTTAGAGGAGGAAGTTTGAGATCACAGTTTCAGAGGTTCAATTCATAGTCAGCCAAGTACATTGCCATAGGCTCAGGATAAGACAAAACTCGATGGCAGAAGTGGAGAAATGCTGCTTTGCTCATGGTGGACAGGAAGCAGAGAAAGGGAAAGGGAAGGAGGCTACAGGGAATGCCCCCAGTGACCCACCTCCTCCAGCCATGCCCCACCTACCTATACTTCCCACCCAAGCAGTCCATTCAAACTAGGATGGACTGATTAAGTTATAGCTCTCATAATTCAATCATTTTACCTCTGAATATTTCTGCATTAACACAGAAGCATATCCAAACTGTAACACCATGCCTATTTTAAGCCATCACAATGACGTCACCAAACAGGCAGTTGGGAAATAATGTATAGAATTGGCTCTCACAAGCCAGTGTGAACTGGTTTCAGGACATCACTGACTGTCAACTCAACTCTTGCTTGTCTTTGGTGAGAAACTCTTCAGAGCCTTCAAATATGCTCCTTTAGGGGTTTAGACAGAATAAGGGTGCTTCAGTTCCTCGCAACCAAAATATCTTAACCTCTAACCACCTCTTATTCTAAACAGTCAATTCACTGAGAGTGTTATAACT